AGCCAAACTCATTCACGTAGCAGCTTTACAGAGTGCTGAATGAAGTTTAGAGTTACGGCTTGTCACTGGCAACAGTGATGCACACTGGGTCTCATTCACTAAGCGTGCATGCAAATGCAAAAAATGTGGGAAATGTCTGAAAAAATGTAGGATGTAAGGGAATGTACATCACTTCAATCCTATATATGAGTTGTTAGTTTTTAAGAATGCACCGAAAATAGTGAATGATTCAATTCATGTTTTATTTGCAATATATAAATTATTACTCATCAGGGAATACATGGAATTACATTGCTCCACTGTGTAAAAGCAATCATTACAAAAAAATAATTTGTACCTCAGGTGCTCTGCGGGCGTTATGTGAAGCAGCACATGGTGACCCACGGACAGGAGTCGGGTCACCCTATGGTGCTGAGCTTCGCTGACCTCTCTGTCTGGTGCTACGCTTGTGAGTCATACGTCCACAACAAGGTGTGTGCCGCCCAGATCACGGGCCTGTACTCTGCTGAATGATGAATGACAACATGTTCATTTTGTATTGTTGTAATATTGTACAATTAATTAAATTGTAACTGTCAGATTTAACATGCACATTTTCAGTACATATGTACAACAACTGTGTCACTGTCTGTCTCTGCACACACAGGTGCTCCATGAAGCCAAAAATACCGCTCACCTCGTGAAGTTTGGAGAGGAGATTCCTCCTTTCAACTAAACCAGCAGAGAGAAGTAAGCGTGTGTTTGCATGCATGTAGATGCAGTGAAGAGACCAAACTGAACTGTAGTGGAAGCAAGTTTCTTCAGCTCGTCTGTCTTCCTTCCTCACTTGTGTGTCTTGAACTTCCAACTATATTTCATAGATTCTCCTTGTGCCAATTGTGAGGTACTGATTTTATTAACGGAATTTGTTTGATCTTAAAGGAAATCTTGGTTTTTAAAAGCTGCCCTCTCTTTTTTTTCCAAACAATACTTTGATTTTATGAAGAGTTCTTTCAGAGGAATGGTAGCATGGTGCTAAAACCACACCAGCCAAATCTGTAGTATTTAGTGTTTCAAATGTATTACGTTCTCAATGCACAACCAACAGCGTTTGCACCGCACTGTTGAAGCATTCCTGTCTTCATTGTATGACTCCAGGCCAAGACGATCCAACTGTGGAAATTACAAAACCACCTTAAACTGAAAGCAATAAACAGTGCAATATTTACTGAAACAGCATCTGAGGACTGGCTGTAATGAGTTACTTTGTGTTTCTTTTCTTTTTTTAATGTTTATTTTTGCACAAACACAGTGACCTTTGGAAACTCTCACTTTGTAACTCTTGATACATGTTGCATTCTAAATAAAAACTCTTCTGTTCCATGCTTCTTCTGTTCTATAATTATACACTCTCAGAAAAAAGGTATATAAGCGGTCACTGGGCCGGTACCCTTTCAAAAAGTACACCTTTGTGCCTTATTTACTCATAAAGGTTGCAATACTAGTACCAAATGTGTTCAAATAAGAAATATATATAAATTCAATATTACATATATTAGACAGTTACTGTATGTGTGTATATATATATATATATTAACTAATACTTTTACAACAAACATAAATATATATACATATTGAATATGTATAATGGTGTTTTATTTTCTTTAGATATGCTGATTTAAAAAAAAGAGTTATAGTGTTTTATTTTTTAAAATAGACCTCCCTCTAAAAAATTACAGGCCTCTCTCATCTTTTTAAGTGGGAGAACTTGCACAATTGGTGGCTGACTAAATACTTTTTTTCCCCACTGTATATATATATTAGGGCTGTAGCTATCAATTATTTTAGTAATTATTTTATGTGTATATGTGTGTTTGTATATATATTTGTATATATATGTATATCTATATATATATATATATATATATATATATCAGGGGCGTTTC